GCGAACACGGCTCAAAACAGCAGAACAGAGATCCCCCGGAATGAGGACCGCTCGCGGTGTTGCTGGTCAAGAGCCTACCACAGCTATACGGTAAGTACAAATGATTTGAATCGCCCTCACATATCTCTTAACTGGTCTATTCAGTCTACGAGCGGCGGGTAGGGTTGTCGCCACGCCAACCAAGCCAAAGAAACAACCCGAGCCAGAAGATCGTAAGGTTACTCGTGCGAAACCCAGCTCAGGTTGTGCACGTACCATGGGGTAAGCGGGAATTCTCCTCAGTCGCAAGTCCATTGTCTCATAGCTCGCCACAGCTCCCAGAGTTGCACAGGCAAAACTGTCAAGAAGCCTTGGAGATAGATGAATGGAGTGTTTATGGAGACGTTGGAATAGAAAGGGACATTTTACGGTGGATAGATTCAAGTTAGAACTTGTCATGAACAGTTGTCCGAATCATATATTATAGGCCCACTGGTTATATGGCGTCTGTATCGGTACGGCCTGATAACACGTCGAGTGTATGCATCGTAAAGAATACTACCACCTTTCCAAACTTTCTAGATCGTATGGTGTTTACAAGTGTAAAGAATTATTTCGCAATTGCGGGGGCTTCATCAGGAAAACGGTCGATTGCTAATTATGAAAATTCCGGCTAATATTCTATAAGATCTCCAAAAGGGCAAATAAGCGAGAGAATCCAGCAAAATCCGGTCCCAGGTTGGGCGCTTGTCAAACGTCCCGTCCCTTGACCAATATTAGCCAAAGCCTTTGTCTAACTTCCGAGTAGGTTTTCAATAATATCAGCAGGGATCAACTTGTCAGTACTTGAAGTACACAGACAGCCCGATGGTGAGTGTCATTCTGTGTGTCTAGCAATAGCCGCCGTCTAACTACACCAAAGTACCTCGTCTTAGCCACCGACGACGGTGACAGCTCCGACTCATCAGACTTCTCGAGGTGAGCCTTTTGCTAACTCTGATGCTAGATGAGCCACCTGAAGGTATGGTGAACTCGATAGGCTTTCCCGACGGTAATCACCTATAAGAGAGTTACAACGCTGGTGGACGCCGCGTTGACTTCGCACCCGACTCTGGTGGCACTGAGCCAAAATGTACTTCGGGCCAGGCCAAGGTCGCCGCAAGGGTTGCGTTTCAATTGAACCAGTGTGCGAACAGTGACCGGGAAGTGCCGTGCAATATAACACGTCGACGAGAGGTCAGGGCTGTTCGTTCCTCCCTTGGATTCCAACTCCCCTCTCCTCCCGTCCCCCGGTCCCAACGCAGATCACCGTCCACCTGCCAGCTGGACCTTCCCCTCGCCATGACGCATAGTATGGTATCCGCAGACAGTAGTTTGAACGCCTCGTGGTTTCACCTGCGCTGTGAGTGTAACTTCCATTCTCAGTATCATCGGAATAGTGCTACCTCATTTTACTTATTCATTTATGCCTCACAGCCTAACGTTTCGCTAACATAGTCAATGCCAAGACCGCTGAAGACCAACCACAAACACCTGCCTCCTATTTGCTCTATCTACACGGGCCACGACGGCCATACAATTATGTTCTTTACAGTGGTAGGCTTACATGTCTTCTCGTCTATCGCTTCTGTGCTTATTGGTCTCTCCGAAACAGGCTCGTGGATATGAGAAGAGGGAGGGGTATACTGGTACTAGGGACTACCGGCGTAAGGCAAGTTGTGTAGAGTATGTCTTCAGTAGCTAGAACCCGCTTGTACATAGCATTAAGTGCCTATTATTCGATCTAGTTGCCTCCATTGACCAGCCGGATGCCTGTCATATTCTCTTGAAATCCTGGTGAAATGCGGGAAAACCTATCGGAAAGATTTTTCTAATTTCCTCTAAGATTGTCAAAATTGTTGTAATTGAGTTTTGGACCTCCCAGTTTTGATAATTTCGAGGATTCGGGGCGGCGGGGAAATTATCGCAATTTCTCCAACTTTCCGGTAATTAGTGCAAATTACCTGTGGACCGTTTTCCTGATGTTCTCACCGCAATTGTAAAGGTCCGTCTGCAGCGACCAAAAATCCTAGATTATCTGCTTTCAATGTTTCATTTATGATTCAAAGTAAGAGATCTGATAGCTTTCTCGGTGCTGAATTGGGCCTTTGACCGTGATGTCCTCTATTACAGGCATATTAGTGCCTGTGATAAGTCAGGCGCCAGTACCATCCACAGGTTATGTGGCCTTTGTTTCAGGGCGCGACGCGTTTATTCGGCATCATTCAGGCTTATTCAGGTGTGTTCATCTTATCCTATCACCAGCATTAATTATCTATACCCGATCTAAGTATCAGTTTTTCTCCTGTATTTCGGTGGTATCAAACCAATGAAGGTACCGATTGGGGCTTGATGAGCTTCGGCAGTCCCCTAAAATCCAATTTTGGTTCATCTACGACCACAAGACCAGCTCGAAGCAGTTGCAGAACATATTTTCTGGCATGGCGAAAAGACGCCCGTGTGATTGCGAACTGAGGGCTCGACCCTGTTTGATTGCGAAATGATTATCGACACTATTAAACATCATAAGATCGTCAATACAAAAGCGCAATCAACGCCCTGCAACAGTGAAAAATATGACTAGCGCAAAGGCCTGGGTAGCTCGTCGTTGATGGTGGTGAGTCAAGAAATATGGTGTTTTTAGGGTCAAGGCAGTTGGAAGCCGACAGCCCGAGGGCTGAGTTGAAGATCACAAATGGAATGTGAGTCGCAGAGTCAAAAACACCCAGAAGCTTCTCTGCGCATAACGATCCGGATAACAGGTACTTGTAAAAGTAAGTAAACAACACAAGTTCCAGTGGGTAGATGCTCGACGTTCGATCGCCTTATGCAGCTGGGTAACTTGTAAGTACTGTGGGCATACCGCAATTGGATGTCGGTGTGCATCTATGATCACTGGCACGATAGCAGAGTTAGGAGGCCCTGCGGGTAATTTTTTTGGGTCCAGACTGGTTCGAGTCCATGGCTTGATGATCATTGGTTCAAATGTTGTAGGCTGGCCGGTGGAACGTCAGAATCGAGTATGGCGTGGCTTGCTCTTTTGAGTCTTCTCGCGGCGAGCTGAGGGCCTGTCGGACAACGCGGTCCGAGCGGTAAAGTTTTCCGAAGAAATTACGTTATCGAAACACATCCCACCCTCAAACCACCAGGTCCTCCTTACAACACCACTCATCCACTCTTTTCGAGACTTGTACGATCCCAAACTATTACCTCTCAACGGAATCCCAAACCCATGCCATCCACCACAGCCCGTCTTCGTCTTCCGAGAACTCTCGATCCGTGACCTCTTCACCTAATCCCTCGTGAAACGACCAAGCCCATAAACCGTCCAAGACTACCAATATCGCGATCTCTGCATAGAGAATCTGATGCTACCTTACGTTTTTTCACAAGCCAAAACAGATTGCTTGTTATCGGTTTCTACGGCCCAATCGGTCCTCGCCCGGGAGGTGTATGTTTAGAGTGACTTGAATCTGTACGTGGAGATGGGTTTCTGCAAGGGAGTGGTCAAATTTGCGACAGTGGAGGTTAGGTACGAGTATGGGCCGTTTGGAGGGAGAAGAGATAGGATCCGGATCTGAACATGGTGTTGAAGAAAACACTGGCAGAGGTCCCACCCGACGATGACAGTACGGACGAAGAGGATAGCTTGGACGACACGACGGCTTCCCGAAATTGTCATCTGAACGGGATTGTCGACGTCTTCTGCTTTGGAAAGGGATACCAAAAGATCCAAATCATCATTAGCTAGTCGACCCCACCGGACGTCATCATGAGCGTGCACCTTTATCCCCATCTTCCATCAAAACCAACCTCTTTAAATTTTCCCTCCAGCCGTCGTCATGAACATAATCAACTACGCATACACCATCTCACTCTACTGAAAACCAACCTTCTTTGACCAAAGGCTACCGCGTCGACCACATCGCCGCTCTCCACAAATACACCTACCGAGATTCAAAAATCATCGACAACATCGACACTCAAGTTTCAACCCAAATTCCGTACACTGAAGGATAGATTCTGTTGGAACGTCGAAATTACAATATCGACGCTGAGTCGTTTCAACTCAAGCTTGAAAGGGATTCGAATGCCAGGATGATGTACGGGAAGATACAGAAAGAGGGATTGGAGCGGGAGTATCGCACGTGAGATTGTGGAGGTTCATCGATGATTGCAGGGTGCGCTCTCGTGGGTTTTCTGACCCTTCCTTTCCTTCGCTCACATTGTAAGAATCATTCTAGCCTCGATAACCAGTTGAAGCCGCCCTTGTTCAGCATATACGATACGCTCAGACACAAAGATCTCAACTTTAGGAATGGATGTCAGAACGCCGAAGAACTGGTGATGGCAGGATTCCAGCGAGCGGGGCAACAATACCCTTCCCTCACGCGCAAGTCTGATCTCTTATCAACGGCGTTCGCTGCGAGAATGTTCGAAATCGTTATCAGGTCACACCGAAGGTAAAGCTCCCCCAGACCCCTACTTCGGCCCAGCTTCCGCTGAAACGTTCTAGGTCACCTTTTCATTCGCACTGCTGAACAAGGCTGAGCGGTTGGACAAACGCCAGGATTGGTATTCCCAAGGGATACGTTGCTAGGCGCAATCGCGTACGGAGGTACACCCTATCGCAGATCCGTCGGTTGTGTTTAGGGTGAGAGAGAGCTTAGAGTTAGAGTCGAGGTTCCTCTTGCTGATGAGTCGTAGGAACCTGAAAGGTCCGTATGCTACAACCTTGAATCGAATCTTTCAACGGCGTGCTCAAACAACCATACACCTCGATTCTGAGACCTTGAGGAAACGACTTGCCAGTAAGTAACATCCTCTCAACGCTCGTTTCATGATACTTATGTGCGTCTTCGTTTTCCTCTGACAGAGGGTAGGCAAAATTCATCTCCAGCGGGGAGGATAGCTTGGTTCCGTGTAATCGAAGGGGCACAGTCAAAGTCTTGTGCTTGGTCATTTCGTTTTGTTGGGTATCGTGCCCCATGGCTGAGTTGGTTACAGCGTCCGACTGTTATCCGTCACACCGGCACAGTTGAGAATTGCAATCGGAAGGTCGTGAGTTCGAGCCTCACTGGGGCAGCTGGAAGGCATTGTATCCTTGTACCTTTTTAGTCGTTGAATACCACACAATTCCGCCTCGGTACTCAAGTCGAACCGAGTTCTTGGCCAGGTTACGTTGTTGACCGGCGCTTCTTTTGAACGTAAGCACCTCTCATCTTAGAAGGTTCGGGCAGCGTTTCCGAATGACGTCCCAACAACATTAATGTCGACCATTTTTCTGACCGACTGGAGCTTTGATCGACCTTGCCTACTGTCGACCGGCGCGAAAATCAACTTTTGCTACCTTCATTGAGTGTTGAAGGGCGGATTCCTGAGCATATTACGAGGGACAGGGTGCCGCCGTGTTGAGAGTTGGCAGGATATGGAATGCAAACCGCATATTGGACGACGCTGTAAGCTGGTGTTGTACCTCCGATACCATACTCTACATATACTCTAATACGACAACCTTTAACTCCGTCAAACGATCGAAGGTTATCGTCGGTTTGGGTGGAAGTGGGGGAAGATGAGGGGGTACTCGTGCGATGGGCGGGACCTCCAAGATAGGTGATACGAGGCTTCGTCTGAGATGTGCCAAGGACTCCAAGGTGACGCCGATAGCCCGTGCCACACATAATCATGAATTTGTGAGACCCGTGTGAGATAGTCGATGCCGATGGGCGATGTGGATGCTAGAGAGACATCGGGGTTGCCACTCGGAAGAATCAACGTGCGGGCTCGGAAGACAAGGTTCGAGCGGCGGCCCCACGTCGGGAATAGAGGGTAGTTATGCGCGCCGATGGAGATGTAGCGAATATGTTGCTTATCATTATGAGTGTAGTGGTAAGGGTTATCATTTTCCTCCTCGTCCTTACAAAAGAAGTGATGCTTCACCTCAAACTCCAAGAATTCGCCTCTTGAAGGAGATGTAGGAAGCCATTTTTCCGACTCGAAAACCCCTTCGGATCCGATTGTTGCACGGTATTACCATACAAGGGATGGCTAACTAAGAGCTCGAGAAGGAGTCTGTACTGATCCATTACACTACATATGTCCCCCCATTCGGCCTATCCACATGACTAGTTTGTTCTATCCCATTACTCGCGCTCCTAGTCGCCAACTGCTGTCTCACATAACTAGTCTCCACATAGCTCTTTGTATCTTGAAACGAGTTACCAAGTCCGACTCGGACGATGATCAACGATGGGGCAATACCCTACTCGGACCCAAAACTCCATCAACACCCAATCCCAACCCGGGAGATCGAAGGTCGTAGACTCACCACAATGTGATGCAATGAAAATGAGACAGAGTCACCTTTACTTCCGGGAATTACCAGTGAGAGGAGTATGGCAACGGGGTACATGAGTCCGGATTCGATGCTTGAATTTCGAACGTTAGCCGAGCGTAGCCAGAGAAGAATGCAAGAGGCCCCGATACCCACATGATAACCACAATGGACATGTACTTATTATGAACGCGTCTTCCCAGGAGAGATTGAGTTCCGCGCATGATAGAAATGATCTTCCATGCTTTAATTTGATGATTGTCACGAGGGACGGGAGCGCAAATAATCTCTTCGATTCACTGTTGTTGCATAGCGAATCAAGACTCACCAATCATGGATGTGAGCAACAAGTTGACGACCACGATTGTAGCACAAAACGCGGTGTTGATTCCGAAAGGTACACCAGCGCGGAAAGAGTATCTGGAGGCAGTGGGTGTCTCATGCTGGGGGCCGACGATCATGACTGCGAGCCCAAGGGCTGTCGAGAGGCCAATATCAGTAACAAAACTTGAGGTAGGTCTACGAACGCGTACCGTTACAGGCCATACACAAGACAAAGGGTCCCGCCACGACCCTCCAGTCGCGGTTCCAAATCAGATAGCATCGTGATATCTTAAATCACAGGAGTGGATCGTGGTCAGCGGGCAATCTGAGAAGAGAATACAGCGGGCTCACCAAGATACCATCGGTGATGCAGCTGAATAAATTCCTCAATATCTATTGCGCACAGCCAAGTCGAACAAATAACATACTTTGAGATCAGGAAAATGACCCAACAAGCTTGCCTGTCGAGAGTTGGAGGTATTTTA